GGGCGTCATCATCTGCCAACGAGGCGGGGGGTGGCATGTTGCTGCTGCTGCTGCTGCTGCTGCTGCTATGTTCCGAGATATCGCTGTGAGTATCGAGATCTCTCGCGTCAGCGCCAGGCGCCACGATCTGTGCCCAGGCAGCGGCAGGAACCTTCGGGAGCGCAACGAGCCCGCGCGCGATGTCCGCGAACTCCAGGTCAGCCGAAGGCGACTTGGGAAGCTTGCCAGCGATGTCAGGCGTGATGAAGCCCATGGACGCCAGCATGCTCACGCGGCCGTTCTGCAGCTCTGCCTGCCACTTGTGAGCGAGATTGATTCTCCGCGCGGCAACTGTCTTCTTGGGCGCCATCTGGTGTGCCACTGTCTTGGGCTCCAGCTGCACGACCACCAGATCGCTCAGCAGCGCCATTGCCTGCTGCCACTGCCAACGCCCGCCCTTCTCGCACCAGCTGTTCAGGATGCAGTAGGTGATGATGTTGGACTCCAGCTGCACGACCGCCATCTCACTCAGCAGCGACACAGTCTGCAACCACTGCCGACGACTGCTCTTCTCGCGCGCGCTGTTCACAGTGACGTACGCGGTGATGTTGGGCTCCAGCTTCGCGAACAGGATCTCGCTCAGCAACGCCATTGCCTGCTGCCACTGCCGACGTCCGCCTTGCTCGCACGGCCTGTTCGGGATGCCGTAGGCGATGATTTTGGGCTCCAGCTACGCGACCCGGGTCTCGCTCAGCAGCGCCATAACCTGCTGCCGCTGCCGACTCCTGCTCTTCTCGCACGCGGTGTTCACGGCGCAGTAGGTGATGATAAAGGGACTCCAGCTTCACGACCAGGATCTTGCTCAACAGCGCCGCAGACTGCTGCCACTGCCAACGCCTGCTCTTCTCGCACGCGCTGTTCACAGTGACGTAGGTGGCGATGATGTTGGGCTCCAGCTTCACGGCCACACTCTCGCCCAGCAGCGCCGCAACCTGCTGCCACTGCTGACGCTTGCTCTTCTCGCACGCGCTCTTCACAGTGTCGTAGGCAATGGCGTTGGGCTCCAGCGTCGCGGCCACAATCTCGCCCAGCAGCGCCACAACGAGCTGCCACTGCTGCCGCCTGCTCTTCTCGCACGCGCTCTTCGCAGTGCCGTTGGTGATGATGGTGGGCCCCAGCTTTGCGGCCACCTTCTCGCCCAGCAGCGGCACTGCCTGCTGCCACTGCCGACGCCTGCTCTTCTCGCACGCGCTGTTCACCGCGCCAGAATTGATGCACATGGGCTTCAGCTTCACGACCGGGGTCTCGATTAGCAGCGCCACACCCTGTTACCGCTGCCAACGCCTGCTCCTGTCGCGCGCGCTGTTCACACTGCCGTACGTGATGATGTTGGGCTCCAGCTTCCCGACCAGGATCTCGCCCACCAGCGCCACGGCCAGCTGCCACTGCCCAGGCCTGCCCTTCTCGCGCCAGCTGTTCAGGATGACGTAGGTGATGATGTTGGGCGCCAGCTTCCCGACCAGCGAAGCCAGCGGCGGCGGCCGCCGCCAGCGGCCCGCCCGAGGCGGCCGCCGCGGCGGCGGCGGCAGCGGCGGCCGCGGCGGGCCGCGGCGGGGCGCGGCGTCACCAGCGGCCGCGGCGGCCCAACGCAGCCGCCGCACCCGCGGCGGCCGCGGCGGCCGCCGCCGGCCCCAGAGCCGCAGCGCGCGCCACAGCGCCGGCGGCCGCGGCGGCGGCGCCGCCGGCCGCGCCGAGGCAGCCAGGGGCCACGCCGAACCGCGGCGGCAGCAGGCCGGCCGGGCCGGCCGCGGCGGCGGCGCAGCTGGCGACGGCGCGCCGCTGCCGCCGCGGCCGCGCCGAGCACGACACCATGGCCGAGCGAGCGGGGGCGCGGAGGGGGGCGAACCTCTCGCACGTCCCCGCGGGCGGGGAGGCCGAGGACCGAGGGGCGGAGGCCCGGCCACAGCCGGCCAGCCGCTGAGGCCCGCTTGAGCCAGGGGGCTTGAGCCAGGCTTGAGCCAGGCTTGAGCCAAGGCTACGGAACCAAGCCAAGGGGATACGCGAAGCGTCTAGAATTTCGTCGCCACTGCAGGAGGCGATCGCGACGTTGGGATTCACAAATTGAGCGCACACTTCGCGTCGACCACCGCGCGGTCGCGTCGCGACCGTCTTGCGAGGTGGGCGCCGGGACCACCAGGCACGCGCGCCAGCCGCGCGCCAGCTCGACGCACAACCAGACGCCTCAGCGTCAGTCGCGCCGCGACAGAAGAAGACGGGGAAACGGACGAAAAGGACGCGCAAGCGCGCCGCTTGCCCGCGCACGCACCCAAGCCCAGGCCGCGCCCAAAACGTTTGAGGCGCCAAGCGTCGGCGCATAACCAGATGGTATCTGAATGGCCGCCCAAGCCTGCGATCCTGCACCCGCGGGTCTGTGCAATCACCACAAGCAGAAAGCACCTCCCGCGTCAACCACCGCGTGCTCGAGACCAGCGGGCACGCGAGCCAGCCGCGCGCAGGCGCGTCGCACACCGAGTCGCCACAGCAACGGTCGCGACTCGACTGGAGGAAACCAGGGCGAGGCCAGCGTCGGGCGACAAACGCCCAGTGCTCGCGCGTCGCGGGCCCCGACGGGCTGCACCCGCAGACGGAGTAGCCGCTGACCTCGGCTGCGGGGTGCCGAACACGCAAGGGCTGGCAGCCAGGGGCCAGCCCCTCGACTGCTGGGCGATGCGCTGTCAGGTGCGTTCCTCTTCGTCGGTGCTCGAGCCCGCTGGACTGCTCCTGGCGCGCGCCAGTGCTGCCCGGTTCGCGATCCACGCGCCCTCGACTGGGGCAAGGAAGGGCGGATGCAGAATCCCACGGGGCGGCCCCAACCAGTTCTCTCATCCGTGCGCCCCTGCGCTCAAGGCCCACACACAGCGCGACCCCGGCGGACGTCGCGCGCCCTAAACGAGCCGCGCCTCCGGCGCTGCCGCGTCTGGGGCCGCTGCTGTAAAACGCCGCTGCCCGCCGAGGAGCAAAACCGCTGCGATCCACGCGGGATCGCCGGCTGCGCCGCTGCAGGCACACGCTGCATCGCGCGCCGCGGCGGCCGAGCAGGGGCGCGGCGCCTCGTCCTCGGGGATGCTGCCCACGCCTGCGCTCGCCGCAGCCGAAGGGACAGGACCTCGAGCCACCACCGCACAGGGCCGCTCGAGCTGAGCATCGACGTGGCCGGCCCCAGTCCCGACAGGCGTGGCCTGGGCCCCACCGGCCTAACTACCCCCCTAGATGAGGATATAGGCCGTTACCTTGAGGCTTCAGGGGGTACATCCCCAACTGGGGTGCTGGGATGATGGGGTTCTGGATCGGGATGGGGATGGGGATAGGAGTCGGCTAAACGGCACTGAATCGCAGGGCCGCCCAAGTGCGAGGATGCAATCGACTTGACGTGACGCGCGACGCGGCACCAGCGGGCGTAACAGCGTTCTTCCCACGAGGTCCCAGAAATTCGCTGCTGCCCACGAAGCCGATTGCCGTGACCAGAACAGCCCCCGCAGAGAACGGCCATTGCAAGCGCTGCGATCGGTCGCGCCTGCAACGCGTCACTGATCCTTGAACTCAGAAGGAAACATACCCATGACGTCGGAGTGGCAGTCGACGGTCAAACCGAGGACTACGAGAGGCAGGGCGCGTTCCCACTCGCTGTCGGCGATCGACGTCAGCCCGAGCATCGCCCGAATGAGCCTCGCGATGCACAACGCAGTGTGCTCCACGCCCGCGGGGTGGCCGGGCCCGAGCGGGCACGGGAACGACCTGCGGGTGCGCCTCTCGCCCAGGTCGCGCACCCAAGCTTTGAGCGACGCCCGAATGCTATATATATACACCTATTATCTTAAAAAGATCATATATATATATATACATGCATATATATATATATAACACAAGAAAGTGCCCAGCGTCAGCGCCTATAACGATTCCCTGCGCAGCGCCCAGGCGCCACGCGCCTCCGCGTCTGTTCTCGCTAGCGGCGCCTGCACGTTTGGCCGCCCCAGCCCGTGATCCTGCACGGCGGACGGGCCTGTGCAATCACCAGACATCCAATGCGATCACCAGACTTCCTATCATGTTTCACCATGCTGGCTCGGGATGCTCAAAGATACCATG